CTAGGGCTAGGGATAGGGATAGGGATAGGGATAGGGATAGGGATAGGGATAGGGTTAGGGATAGGGATAGGGTTAGGGCTAGGGCTAGGGATAGGGATGGGGATGGGGATAGGGATAGGGATAGGGATAGGGATAGGGATAGGGATAGGGATGGGGATAGGGATAGGGATAGGGATAGGGATGGGGTTAGGGATAGGGATAGGAATATTGATAGGGATAGGGATAGGAATATTGATAGGGTTAGGGATAGTGATAGGGATAGGGTTAGGGATAGGGATAGGAATAGGGTTAGGGCTAGGGCTAGGGCTAGGGCTAGGGCTAGGGTTAGGGATAGGGATAGGGATAGGGTTAGGGATAGGGATAGGGATAGGGATAGGGATAGGGTTAGGGATAGGGATAGGGCTAGAGCCAGGGCTAGCCAGGCTAGGCCAGGGCTATCCGAAAAAGGCGGGCTAGGGCTAGGGCTAGGGCTAGGGCTAGGGCTAGGGCTAGGGCTAGGGCTAGGGCTAGGGCTAGGGTTAGAGATTGTGTAACACACAGACTCCCCTTTACCTTGTGATGTTGGGTTTGATGGTGACATTGTTGCGTTGTATGTTGTGGATCAGGGTGGGGCTGACTGTAGGCTGGGTCTGCAGAGCTCTCATCTTCGGGTTCAGCCCCCATCTGCAGTAAACAACAACAACAAGGCAGTCAGAGATGGCAGACTTCACCCCCTCACCCATACTGCTTGGGGACACCCCTATATTTGCCACACTTCCAATCTCACCAATAGAAAACTTAAGACACTGATGAGAATTAATGACAAATTGCTGCATTGTATGTGTTGGAAATTGTAGAAAGATACAGACACACACACACACACACACACAAACACACAGGGCTACACTTACTCACCCACTCACTCACTATCCTGGTTTAGATTATTCTGCTGCCAGTTTCCCTGTCCCAGGGGTGGGCAGCAGTTGGCTGTTCTGGACACCACGCCTTCAGCTAGCTCTGTCCTGTGGGTCTGTACTGGACAGACCACACGCTACAAACTGGAAAAATGGGCACCATGCAAAATGCCTTTTCTAGTTCACTTCTAAGAACAGTGATTGAATGCATAATTTTGCTGAGCAACTTTGGCACTAGATTTTTGATTTTTTGGAAAGGCTGTTCTGATATGTCATCATTCCAGAATGCCAGAATGTCTCAAATTCATTAACACGTCAGATTTTATGATCAGCACCTACCTGTAAGGGTTGCCATGAATGAGTGTCACCACAGTTTCCAGGACGTTTGTGGCCAGTTTCCATGGTAACCAGAGGAAGGTACGGCAGGCGTAGTGGTCCGTGGGCCGGCCGAACACGTAGTTGGGGAGAACCCAGGCGCCGGACCGCGTACTCAGGTACACCTTACGACACCTATGTGTACATTGTACATGGGAACAAAAGGGTTATGAGCTAGAAACTTGAAAGTAACATTTTACAAAGCAAATGTAATGTTAACCTTTGAACGGTCTAGATTGACAAACTACTGCTTGGCTTATTCTTACTCAAACACTTTCATATACATGTATATGGTGACCAGCCCCTCCAACATCCTGCCACTTTGCTACATAATGTACTCCAGGGAAGGAGAGAGAGAAGAAATAGCTAAGGTAGGTTTCAATTACAGGCTAAATACTTGTTACATTTCATTGTTGAGTCTACTTTAAAAAAGTTATTCTCAAAAGAATTACATTAAAATTCCTTGGATCTAAAGTTAACCAATTCAATACATGCGTTTCATATTAATGCTATTATATGAAACTAGCGAAGTCATTTAAAAATGTCGATTGGGATACACAAAATGTAGCAATGTTTAGTTGATACATGCCTTCCCACTGTAGCAGCGTCCACTGCCACATCCACAGCACTGTTGCCGATCCCCACCACCAGTACCCGCCCCCCCACCAACCGGTTAGTGATGGGGTCTTTGTAGTCTGCACTGTGAATCAACTCACCTGCACAGCATAGGAGTGAGTTTTAAAACACACTAAGATGTTATTAGATATTAAGATGTTAGTATATGAACATGGAATTCCATATTTGTCACAAGAACATATGGGCCTCATCATTGGGGCCTTGAAATTTAAGATTTTCTTGATCTGAGCTCTGAGAACTACTATTCCTAAAGCTCTTCAAGACAAGACTCCACCAATGAATGTTTTGCAGTGGTTAAGCTATAAATTATTTCATAAACTTTCCCTATGTCAAGGTTGTCTTTGTATCTATACTAAAAAAGCACTAAGAAGACTAAGAAGTAGTGGTCCAGGAATAAATTTGTGTCAAGATCTGAAGATGAAGATGATACTATAATGTTTTTGACCTACCCTTGAATGTTTCTTGCCCGGGAAACTTTGCGAGGCTGGGGGTCACATGATGCCCTGTTGCTATGGCAACAAACTTGGCGACATATACCTCCTCCTCCCCTGTGGTCCATCCTCCCTTCCCATCATCCTCCACTCTGGTCGCCGTGACAACCCATTTGTCATCTGGGGAAAGAGGAAATCATCAACATTTCTGTTCTTACTTTAGACTTACTGTTGGGTGATGACTTAGATTTAACTTACAAGGTGTAAAGAACATACACACATACATACATTTCCAGGCTTTGAAATGACAACAAAATGGACTTTTCGATCACTCTGATCCTACAGAAGTAGGAAATGAGGAAAGGTGACAATGACATGATGACACTACAGCAAGACAAACCCACTGGAGTGAGCTTTCAACTCTTTTTCTTTGAATTATAAACCATACATGTATTGAACTGCTTTTTTGTGAACCTTGCATGCCTTTCTTTAGTACAGTGCATAATGTCCTAGAATACATAGAACCAGCTAAAATGAAGCCATTTGACCTTTTCTCTCCATCTTGTTGACCTGTGTCTGGAAGCTGATGACCTTGTTGATGCCAAAGTGCATGACGTAGTCAGTGATGTACTTGGCCATGTGGGAGTGGTGTGGATAGTCTGGGACGTCGTCTGGGAACGGGAAGTCAGAGAAGCAGTAGTTGTGCTTCGAGACGTTTCTGGAGAGAAAAGTATGAAAATACAATGTATGGTTTTTAGTGCACTGCCGCCTGGCAGAAAATTGAGATCGGGGCTAGATAAATCTTTTGGTGACCGCTAAAAACAGTATCAAATTGGCCAGGCATTATCCATTAGCCAGACTGTACCCATTGGCACTCTTTTGGCCAATGAATACTGCCTTGCCACCATATGATCTGCTTGGAGATTATTTCTGAGGAATGGCGGAAAAACCTGTCCAGTCCAAATAAGGGGCTCTAGATATACACAAAACCCCACAATGCAGCCTGGTGACCCAAGCACTTCCATACCTGGATGTAACAAACAAACAAACAAACAAACAAACAAACCCAGAGTGACTCACATGTGCGTACATCTCATGACCCCGTATCCGACCTTGTCTCGGAACGTCCACAGCCCGCCGACCTCACCCGTACGCTCCAGAACTTTGACCTTTAACCCCACATCCAGGAGGCATTTGGCTGTAACCACACCTGCAAAGAAAAAAGTTTCAAAATTTAACTCCTATATCTAAACTAGATGTAGTCCAGAAATGTATTGCACATCATTTCAAAGATCAAGAAATTATAAAACCCACTCATTATGCGCAACATGGGACCACTGCATATTATCCACTGCCTTCAAAGATTGAGGCATACCCAATAATAGTAAGTGTAGTACCTTACAGTTGATCCGACAGTGGCTGTGTGTACTTTATTACTTATCCTTTACTTTGACACTGTACATGCAATTAATCCTGACTTTAAAAATAAAATTTATTAACACTCCACTGGTCCATTCAGGCCTCGAAATTAACTTTTTTTTCTATTGTCCCAGAATTGTCCCAAAATAGATTTTGATTGTCCCGAACTGAGGATGAACTGTCCCAGCCTGATTTTTCTAGGAAATAAGCAACAACAATAAAAACAACAACAACTGAATTTGTACAACTTGAAGTCCACTTCAACAGTTCAAGTAAATAATATTAGTAAATATCCATCATTTTTCCCAGACTGTAGGGAAATACAGTATCATGGGTGCGCCACCATCTTCAGGCCCCCCTCCCCGACATTTGGAAAATCCTGACTGGTCAAATTCAAATGTTTGTCAGAGTATTATGGACTGCTGGCGGCCCGCAGCAGGATAGATAGATTGCGTTCCTAAATGACGTGGACGGTTTTAGAATTTTACAATTGCCCCAAAATTGTCCCGAAGCATAATTTGAATTGTCCCGAGCTGAAAATTTAGTGTCATTTGACACTGGGACAATGTTAATTTCGAGCCCTGCCATTGATTCCCCACTAATGCCTACCTGATATTCCAGCTCCAATCACCACAACATCAGTTTCTAAGGTGGTAGCCATGTTCCTACTGTCACTCAAGATACAGACACACCTGTAGAAGGAAGAGAATCTTTTCCTAAGGGATCATCTAAAAGTGGTCCTTAACACACAGAGGTGGCTACTAGCATTGTACAGTTAGACTTTGCTCCAACACATAGAAACAAAACAAACCCTCCAAATTTCCCTATGACCTACAACATATTAAGTAATAGGCTTCCCTAGGCCTTAAGCTATAGCTAAGGGTCGTACTTAACTGATTGAGAGCCCAGTTTCTAACAATGCAAGGACGTTATGTTAAAGTTCCTTGCATGCAGCCTTACCTGTGACTTCTGTTCTCGTTCTATACCCTAGATCCACCAGCCACACGTGCGGTACGTGCCGAGCCTGGGATCAGCGAGCTAGGCACACATGACTTTTGGACCTGGGGACCTAGGTGTAAAGATCGTCTAAAACAATTATGAGTATATTTTACTTACCTTGCATGCACAGTTCAAAGTTTCGATAAAAGCCAAAAACAGCCAGTGTGCAAAGCAGTTAATTTTTAGAACAAGGGCACAGCTTATGTTAGAGAAGGTGATTTCTTAGTCTGTTGTTTTTTCCGGTGCTGATTTTAAATATTAAACCAAAATACGATATACTAGTAATTTACAGGTCAGACCTATGCCCTAGCCTAGCTGTGTGTAAGTTATAACTTCGAAACATGAATTGAAAGAAAAACTCACGTTTTTGTGCTACTAGGAAGCGTACATGCTATTTCTAGCAATATTTTCTACCTATAGAATTTGTACGTACCACAAGTAGAGGTATTTCAGTGCGTATATATCAGTATATAAAGTTATAAACAGATATTGCTCATGCTCACGTTTCGCGCCACACCCCAGCTGGTGACCTTTGCCCTCAGCAGGACCGGGTAGTTCCGCGTCTGCGCACTGCGTGCCGGTGACGTCACGGCAGTATTTGCAGGTTGGGTGTTCCACAGGAGATATCAGCGCCGAAGGTCAGTTTGAAACTCCGTTTTCTCAACGTTTCTACCCTCTGTAGACTTGTCAGTAATATTTTACGTATTTAGGTGTTATTTTTACAGAAGGCGGGTTTGATTTGGCGAAAATTGTCGCAGAAGTGGAGAAATTCGCGTCCCAAAAATGGGCGGAAAACTGAGTTGGGGAGGGGCATGCTTGAACTGCGACTGTAAATAATACAAAATCCAACTCGTGTTGGAGGTTTTATAACTGCGATTATCTCACAAAATACACAACAACTTAATAATACTCTTCTTAGACCTCTTAAATACTTATTCTCGACGCTTAATTTATGACCTGTTTTTAGTTCCGATATTTCCTGTTATCGTTCTTGCGATCACAACATATTTTTGCTTCCTTTCCAAATGCATGATGGTGATGATGAGGAAACAGCATGTAAAATTCATGTCTGCCCTGTGTGTGCTGTTAACCGCCGAAATGAGTCCTTAGCATGGTTCACAGAATTTATCATAGCGCAGTCAGAATCGGGAAAGCCAGGCTAAAATATATGTCGTTGTAATCCTTACAAGTCAGGGAACCTTGGGAAGTTCACTTGAAGATCACACTTGTACACAAAAACGAGCTTTGTAGCGTCAAAGTTGACCATTATTCGCTAGCTAAGAACTCATTTTGGCGTAGGTTTTCGAACTGTATGGGGGTTTCCGTGATACCGCTAATCCCATCTACTTCCGGGTCACGGCTTACGAGGTTCGGTTACTAGTATATTACACACCGAAGAGCGAAGGAAACGTTGCGGAGTGAAATTTCATGAAAAAAAGCTCTTAAAAAGCCGCGCCTATAAGGTTTCGCGACTTCTTCCCAAAAATCCAATTACGCTTTGGCGAGTATATTAGGGTCTGCCCTCCGTGTCTATCATATAAATGATACACGTAAACGTCGGGTCGTCTTCGAAGTACCTTATGTATCATTTCAATGATACGTGTAACTACCTAGGTTTTCCAAAGTCGGGCTGACTTCCAATATAGTAACCCCACTATCATATCTACGCATGTGTGAGACGGGTACACTGTACCAGCAATCATTTCTTAAATAGCTAATAGAAGAGTTACCACTTGGCTCTTAAAAAGCCGCGCCAATAAGGTTTCGCAACTTCTTCCTAAAAATCCAATTACGCTTTGGCGAGAATATTAGGGTCTGCCCTCCGTGTCTATCATATAAATGATACACGTAAACGTCGGGTCGTCCTCGGAGTGCTTTTTGTATCATTTCAATGATACGTGTAACTACCTAGGTTTTCCAAAGTCGGACTGACCTCCAATATAGTAACCCCACTAGTACTATCATATCTACGCATGTGTGAGACGATAAAAATCCCTTCACCCTTTGGCGAGTACTCTTTCTCGCAAAGGCGATTATGGTCTGCCCTGCGTGTCTATCATATAAATGATACACGCAAACGTCGGGTCGTCTTCGAAGTACCTTATGTATCATTTCAATGATACGTGTAACTACCTAGGTTTTCCAAAGTCGGACTGACTTCCAATATAGTAACCCCACTATCATATCTACGCATGTGTGAGACGATCAAAA